TTTCCCCCCCCGAGCTGGCACCTCCCCTGACGTTGCCCCCGAGGCAAGTGGGCCTTTTGCTCAGAAGGAGGCAGCGGCCTCTACAGAAGCAGTGCGCACCACATAATCGGAGCTGGATCGACCTCCTACCCTGGCACGTCGAGCAGCGAGGTTTCCGTTTTCGGTTCGCGAGAGGGCGCCGCGGCCGTCATTTTTGCGGGTCCAGGTCCGTCGGTTTCGGTCCTAGGCCGTTTTCACTAGAAAGGAGGTTTTATCAAGGGAGGTTTGTCCACCGCCGACATCCCTCTGGAAGGCGGTGGGGCCCTCCGAGAAGGCCCCCCGCCCCCAACCCCCCAGGCATCCTGCGCATCGTTTTTGCTCGATGCGCGAGCGCTTGGCCATGCCGGCGCCCCCCCCCCCTCCCAGACATCCTGCGCTTCGCTTCTGTTCGATGCGCGAGCCCCTGGCCGTGCCAGGCCTGAGCTCGTGAGCCCCTGGCCGTGCCAGGCCTGAGCTGCATCGGATCGCGAGAAGTCGGATCGGACCGGAAACGCAACGGGCCGTCTCGGCTTCGGATCGCGCGGCCTCGCAGCTCGGGCGCGGCCCCTGCAGACGGGAGAGGCCACGAACGGCCCGGGAAGGGATCAGCGGGCGAGGGGGGGGGGGAACGGAAGTGGGATAGAGCGAGCGAGAGGAGGAGGGGCGAGGGGGGGCGGCGAGGGGGGGAGGGCACCTCCTCCTCTCCTCCTCCTCCTCCTCCTCCTCCTCCTCCTCCTCCTCCTCCTCCTCCTCCTCCTCCTCCTCCTCCTCCTCCTCCTCCTCCTCCTCCTCCAGGGGCGGGCGGTGTTGCCCCTCGGCTCGCAGCCCCGCCCGGCGGCGCCACCAGGTGCTGCACCGGCGCCGCCGAGAGGGCCCGGCGCGAGCGCGAGGCCGCGGCGTGGCGTCGCGCGGAGGGCCGGGCGGGCGGCGCCACGGCCCCGGCGGGGGGCGGCGTGGAGGTTCGGCACGATCGAAATGGGCACAGTCAACCCGCGCAGCAAGGATGGGCAACTTTCCAAAGGGTACCCTTGCATCCTTGCCTCCTCGGTCCATCCTTGGCCACTTTCGTTGGCCGCGCCCTGCTCAAAAAGCTTCGAACTGGGCGTCCAAGGCCCTTGCATCCTTATCGCGCATCCTTACTGACTATACTGATTGACTGTACGGAAAGAATGGGTATTACACCAGAGAGAAGCCCCAATCAGTGGATGGTTTGAAATGGGATCGATAAAGAGATCGATAAGGAGATCGACCGAGAGCCCGGGAACCCGGGACCCACCGAGATCAGCCCGGAACCAACAACCAGGAACCCAGAATCGGGAACCCGGAAACCCAGCCGGCCACCAAAATCGGCGGGAAGTGTTCGCCAAATGTTTTGAGTTCCGCTGGGACCCCTTCAGTGCAAGCACTGATTGGGGAATGGGTACAATGCCCGACAGCATTTCTTGTCCATGTCGAACAGGACTCGCTCTCCGCGCCGCTGCGGGCGTTGCCCTTTGAAGACGAAAGGCCGCCTGCTCAACAGCTGCCGCTGTCGCTTTGGGACGACAGTTGTTGGTCGGCCTTGTACCCAATCTCGTCCGTACCCACTTCGGGCGTCCGAGGAGGTCTTCCTCGGGGCGGCCAGGGCCGCAGCCGCCCATGAGGCTCAGGAATCCGAGGAGGAAGGGGCACCGATGCCGCTGCACTCCCGCCCCCACACGCCAACACCGAGGAGGAGGCGGTCCGCTCGGCGCGCGGGGCAGCGCTCCCTGCGCGCGCACGCCGCGGAGGGCTGTTGGACCCCCGGGGCGACGCAGACCGGAGGGGGAAGTCGAGGCAGAGGCACTCCGAGTTTCTAATAAGCGTCGGGGGGGCGTCACCCCCGCCGACAGCCCCATATCGACCCCCGTCGCGTCTCGACGACGCGGCGAGGTTGATCCCCGTCGTGGGGGTACCCCCCCACGCTTATAAAGAAACCCAGGGTAGCGGTGTCGGTACATTTTCAAGGGTGCCCACACGCCTTTTGGGACCTCTTGGAAGGCTCTCGTCGCCGCGGCTTGATTCGCCTCAAAATAATTCTGGTCAGAAGGCGCCTTGGGTGAGGGCTGGGGAGCAGCGGTATCGGTACCTCTTGGTTTCTCCAAGGAAGGGCCAGAGGTCTTGGAGTCGGTTGGGTATCTGATGTGACCCAGCATTGGTTCCAGGCAGCAGGGACGGAGAGGGCCTTTTTCGTCCTTTTTGGGGCCTCATGGGTGCTTCTCGTCACCACGGACGCGGCTCGAAAAATTGATGCGCTTGGACCCCCGGAGGGGTCGGGGGACAGATGTTGATTGGATTTGGCATGATTCCCCCACTCTTGACCGAGTTTCCCGGGGCCCGCCTGCAATACCAGATTTTCTCGATCCCCTTCATTCCCTCCTTCATCGAAGAGGGCCGTGGACGAGTTTGGACGCAGGCACGGCTCCGTCGCTGGTTGCCAGAGGTGGTCCTAGCCCAGGATGTCCCCCGCGTTTCGCGCCGTCTCGGGGCCTCCTGTGGCCTTCTGGGGGTGCTCTGTGTGGAGGCCACTTGGCATCCCTGGGGAAGCTGGGGCTACCCTGGGCCAGGGCCACCCCTTGCAATACCCGGCTTTGGAAGTCTCAATTCCGCTCAGATTGGGCGCGATTTATAGGGGGTGATAAATGGTGGGGAGGAAGGTGCCCGCTTCGGGCCCTAAAGGCCCCCTCTGGGGCCCTAAAGGGCTCTTTTAGGGGCCCCTTTTCTGCAGCCCTCGCTGTCCCCAAATTGATCGCCCCATTTAATTCGCGCCCAATCAGAATCAGTCCATCGACCCCTCCCAAGCATGAGGATAAATCGATTCAGAGAGTTCCTTGGCATCGCTCGGACGTGTGCAGTTCTTTCTCGGCGAGGACCATCGAGGATCATCCTAGATGATCTAACAACAAACCGGCGTCACCCCAACATACTTGTACAAAATGTGCGCCGCCCCCCCAGGGGCGACGCGGGCACCGAGAAATCTCATAGTATATGCGTCGTGGCGGGCGCTTTCTGGCCACACCGCTCGGGAAACGACGTACGATAAGATTGGTATACTAGATGTTCGGGTCGGACGCGCGCCTCCAAGGAGGACAGATAGTACTAGCATGTCCTTGTGCGCCCCAACAAAAAAATACGCACGATACCGAAAAATCCACGGGGAATGGACGTCCGAGCGATAGCAGGGTTCCTGAACGCTCTCGGGGCGCTCTGGGACGGCCGCCGCGCCGGCTCTTCCAGACCCGCCCGCTCTCAAGGATACCTGACGGGTCCCCCTCCGACCGTATCCTCACCGCGCTCACACGCCAGTCGTTGAAAGAAGGTATGTTTGGATTCCCAGATCCCAATCTACTTCAAGCGCCTTCCTATTTCAAGAATCGACACGCTTTTGCTTTGTTCTGTTATTCTCTGGAGGGGCCTGGACACAATTAACTTAAACCGCCTTCCTACTTCATGTTCTTACCTACTTTTTCCGGCCGACGTGTAAGTCGGGCGTGTCCCTCCACAGGAGGAGTATTCAAAAGTAGTCAAAAGATATTCCGGGGGCGATGTTTTCATTGTTCTTGATCATCTTCGAGCATCTTCTGACTGTTTTTGATTTTTCGTCTAAGATGCACCTGTGCACCTGTAGGGGGACATACCCGACCTGACACCATGCCCTCGCCTGGGCGATGAGTCAGCTGCGCGCCGAGGGGGGCAGGGGGCGGGGGGAAGGCTTCCTAGAAGCACCCCTGCCTCTCAGGGGGCGCTGGCCCTGCCTGGAGATGCTGGGCCGGCGCCTTCGGAGAAGCAGGGATGCTTCTAAGAAGCCGTCCCCCCGCCCCCCGCCCCCCCCCTTGAGCGCGCCGCCAACAGTGGCCGCCGGAGCGCCGAGAGCGGGCGGCGTGGGCAGGATCGTTGTGTTTTTTGTGCGGCAGGCGCCCTGCCGCAGGGCGGCGTGCCACGGCCGTGGCTGCCCCGGCTCCTCGACTACGTGGTCGTGGGCGCCGGGAGCGGAGGCTCGGCCGCGGCTGCCGCGCTGGCGTCGCACCCGTCACGGGGGGGGGATGCGGCTGGGCTGCCCCGCCGCGGCCACTGGCGGCGCGCAGGGGGGGGGGGGGCGGGAGGGGGGGAGGGGCGGGAGGAGAGGGAGGAGAGGAGAGGGAGGAGGGGAGAGAGAGGGGGGGGAGGAGGGAGCTGGGGAGGGAAGAGAGGGAGGAGAGCAGGGAGGAGGAGGCGGAGGAGAAGAAGGAGGCGGAGGAGGAGGAGGGTTGGTCGAAATCTTGAACCCAAATGCCTCTGTGCCATAATTGCGTGGTGGCTGATGCATTCACACCATGCTTGCCTGCTTTCTCTAAGCCGCAAGTATGTTCAAGCTCTATGTGTTCTGTGGTGTATTGGAAGCTGTTTGAAATTAATGTCAATCGCGCTGGTGCGTTTCACCGAGTTGAGTGGGGGGGGGCGCGTTGCCTTGCACGCATCAGGGGGCCAGGCATCTTGGTGCAAGCACGCACTGGTGCACACGGGCACTGTGGTGTGCACAGGCACACTTGTGCGCGCAGGCCCTGCCCCCCTCCCTCTGGCGCTTCGTGATCGCACAGGGGCGGATAACGCAACACCGGCACGCCCAGGTGGGCGTCGCAGGGTTTCCCCACTTCCGGCCCTCTTGCATGTCTTCCGCTCAGACCTTCCTCTTCCTCCTCCTCGCCCCCCCCTTCTCACGCCGTAGACACGCCAACGGCGGTGTAGGCAACGGCGATATAGGTTTCGGTCTTGTAGGTGGGGGGGGTGTCGAGGTCAACCCAATTCTAGGAAAGATGTGTGTTGTGTGTGCCTTCAATGTGTTCTGCGCGAGTTCGGCGTCGCAACAAAACATATTCCCAACATCGCTGTGAACCAACATCGCCGTTAGCGTGGCCTTGGTCGCGGCTGGCCCATCCGGACAAGAAGAATCTTCCCCCCTTTCGCCCTCCGCTCTCTCCCATCCCCCACATTCCACCAATACCCTCGCAAGGGGTGTTTCATAAGGAGCGCCTTACACGCTACACTACATGTCCTCCGCCGCCGAACTCTTTAGAGTACCACCAGAGCTTTCTAGAACCTGAGAGCGCGCGAAGCGCGCGCGCGTAATGCCAGTACACGCGTGTGGGCGATTCGGGCCCAAACGCTCGTCGCCAACAAAGCGCGCAGTGCGCGTCGCTGCCGCGGTGTCCCCAACCCGCCGTGCGCCCAGGAGGGCCGGGGCGGGGCAGGAGCTGCGGCCCTCCGCCCCCCGGTCCGTCGCGGCCGTCGGTGCTGCTGCTGGAGGCGGGGGACTGGGACGACAACCGCGAGATATTCTGCAGGCCTGCGCCGTTCCGCCGGCCTCGGGCTTCACCGAGCGCGGTTGACTACGCGCAAGGTGCCTACTCGCAGACGTCCGAAGAAACACATCTTGTCTTGATGCAGTGCATCGTGGATCCCCCGCGGCGGATCCGGGCCCTTCGCGAGTGGGCACTTTGCGAGAGGAGGAACGCGCTTGTCCAGGGCTGAGCGACCCGATGATAGCGTCACTGGGCCACTGGCACCAGCGTCAGACGGAAGACCCCAGGAGCTTCCTGGACAGCCAGTTTGCGCATCTTGTTGCTGTTTTTGTCGAGATCGGCGCGCTGCCCCCCCGTCGTCAGGGCTCCCGCGCGCAGCTCGTGCAGGCTGTTCGCTGAGTGTGGACGTCGCTGCTCCGTCATGTCGTCGTCTTCGTTTTCATCGTTCTCCGTCCCCTATCCACCTCCCTCGACTTCCTCGGCCCTGCTTCGCCTTCCTCGTCGCCACTCCTCGCCTTCGGCCCTGTTCCGCCACTGCCGTGCCTGCGTCGTTCCCCTTCCCTCCCCCTCCCTCTCTCTTTTGCTTTCGCGTTTCGTTGTCGTTCGACGTTCGCCTTTACTTCCCTTCTCCCCTCTCTTCGTCCCTCCAGCCGCCAGGCGTGGAGCGCCTGGCGCGCGCGCGCCCGGGGGCGTTGCCCTCCTCCCTCCTTCCTTCCTCCTCCCTCCTCTCCGTCGTCGTCGTTGCTGTTGCGTATTCCCTCCCCCCTCCATTGTTTCCCTCTGTCCTTCTCTCCTGCCTCTTTCTGACTATCTTCTTTTTGACTCGCTCTTTCCCGCGCGGTTTCACACGTTCTCGCTGGTCTCTGGCGGGCGCGGCCCCAGCAGTGCAATTCTGGCTTGGTCCAGAAGTTTCACACGTGAAGATTTGTTCGTGTGTTGTGTGTGTGTGCGTGTGTGTGTGTGTGTCTCTCTGTGTCTGTGTGTGCGTGCGTGCGTGCGTGCGTGTGAGTGTGCGTGGGTGTGGGTGTGGGTGCGTGTGGGTGTGCGGGTGTGTGGGTGTGTGGGCGTGTATGCGTGGGTGCGTGCGTGGGTGCGTGCGTGGATGTGTGCGTGGGTGTGTGCGTGGGTGCGTGCGTGGGTGCGTGCGTGTGTGTGTGTGTGCGTGTGCGCGTGCGCCTGTGCGAGTGCGTGTGCGTGTGTGTGTGTGATTGTGCGTGTGCGCGTGCGTGTGTGCGTGTGCGTGTGCGTGTGCGTGTGCGTGTGCGCGTGTGCGTGTGCGCGTGTGCGTGTGCGCGTGCGCGTGTGCGTGTGCGTGTGTGCGCGTGCGCGTGTGCGTGTGCGTGTGTGCGTGTGTGCGTGTGTGTGTGTGTGCGTGTGCGTGGGCGTGGGCGCCGGCACGGGCGCGGGCGCGGGCGCAGGTGTGCGCGTGCGCGTGCGCGTGCGCGTGCGTGTGCGCGTGCGCGTGCGTGTGCGCCTGCGCGTGCGCGTCTGCGTGTGTGTGTGTGTGTTGTGCGTGTGTGTTGTATGTGCTGTGTGTGTTGTGTGTTGTGTGTTGTGTGTGTGCGTGTGTGTGGTGGCGGTTGTAATTGCGTGTGTGTGTGTGTTGTGTGTTGTGTGTGTTTGTGTGTTGTGTGTGCGTGCGTGTATGTGTGTGTGCGTGTGTGTGCGTGTCTGCGTGAGTGCGTGTGCGTGTCCGTGTGCGTGTGCGTGTGTGAATGTGTGCGTGTGTGCGTACGTGCGTACGTGGGTGCGTGGGTGCGTGCGTGAGTGTGTGCGTGTGCGCGTGTGTGCGTGTGTGCGTGTGTGCGTGTGTGCGTCTGTGCGTCTGTGCGTCTGTGCGTCTGTGCGTCTGTGTGTGCGTGTGCGTGTGCGTGTGCGTTTGCGTGTGCGTGTGCGTGTGCGTGTGTGTGTGTGTGCGCGTGTGTGTGTGGGTGTGTGTGTGTGTGTGCGTGTGTGCGTGCGTGCGCGTGTGCGTGCGTGAGTGTATGCGTGCGTGCGCGTGTGCGTGTGAGCGCGTGTGCGTGTGCGCGCGTGTGCGTGTGTCGTGTGTGCGTGTGTGCGGGTGTGCGTGTGTGCGTGTGCGCGTGTGCGCGTGTGAGCGTGTGCGCGTGTGCGCGTGTGCGCGTGTGCGCGTGTGCGCGTGTGCGCGTTTGCGCGTGTGCGCGTGTGCGCGTGCGCGCGTGCGCGCGTGCGCGCGTGTGTACGCGTGTGTACGTGTATGCGCGTGTGCGCGCGTGCGCGCGTGCGCACGTGCGCACGTGTGCGCGTGTGTGCGTGTGTGCGTGTGTGCGCGTGTGCGCGTGTGCGCGTGTGCGCGTGTGCGCGTGTTGCGCGTGTTGCGCGTGTGCGCGTGTGCGCGTGTGCGCGTGTGCGCGTGTTGCGCGTGTGCGCGTGTGCGCGTGTGTGCGTGTGTGCGCGTGTGCGCGTGTGCGCGTGTGCGCGTGTGCGCGTGTGCGCGTGTGCGCGTGTGCGCGTGTGCGCGTGTGCGCGTGTGCGCGTGTGCGCGTGTGCGCGTGTGCGCGTGTGCGCGTGTGCGCGTGTGCGCGTGTGCGCGTGTGCGCGTGCGCGCGTGCGCGCGTGTGCGCGTGTGCGCGTGTGCGCGTGTGCGCGTGTTGCGCGTGTGCGCGTGTGCGCGCGTGCGCGTGCTGCGCGTGTGCGCGTGTTGCGCGTGTTGCGCGTGTGCGCGTGTGCGCGTGTGCGCGTGTGCGCATGTGCGAATAGGCGCGTAGGCGCGTGTGCGCGTGTGCGTGTGTGCGTGTGTGTGTGTGTGCGTGTGCGTGCGCGTGCGCGTGCGCGCGTGCGCGCGTGCGTGTGCGTGCGCGTGCGCGTGTGCGTGCGCGCGTGCGCGTGTGCGCGCGTGTGCGCGTGTGCGCGTGTGCACGTGTGCGCGCGCGCGTGTGCGCGTGTGCGCGTGTGCGCGTGTGCGCGTGTGCGCGTGTGCTCGTGCGCGCGTGTGCGCGTGTGCGCGTGTGCGCGTGTGCGCGTGTGTGGGTGGGTTGGTGGGTGGGTGGTTGAGTGGGTGTGTGGGTGGGCGTGTTGTGGGTGTGTTGTGGGTGTGTTGTGGGTGTGCTGTGGGTGTGCTGTGGGTGTGCTGTGGGTGTGTTGTGGGGTTGTTGTGGGTGCGTTGTGGGTGTGCTGTTGGTGTGTTGTGGGTGTGTTGTGGGTGTGGTGTGTGTGTGTGTTGTGGGTGTGTTGTGGGTGTGTTGTGGGTGTGCTGTGGGTGTGTTGTGGGTGTGGTGTGGGTGTGTTGTGGGTGTGTTGTGGGTGTGTTGTGAATGGGGTTTGGTGTGGGTGTGGTGTGGGTGTGTTGTGGGTGTGTTGTGGGTGTGGTGTGGGTATGGTGTGGGTGTGTTGTGGGTGTGTTGTGGGTGTGTTGGGTGTGTTGTGGGAGTGGTGTGGGTGTGTGTGGGTGTGGTGTGGATATGTTGTGGGTGCGTTGTGGGTGTGTTGTGGGTGTGGTGTGGTGTGTTGTGGGTGTCTTGTGGGTGTGGGTTGGGTGTGGGCGTGGGTGTGTTGTGGGTGTGTTGTGGGCGTGGTGTCGGTGTGTTGTGGTGTGCTGTGGGTGTGGTGTGGGTGTACTGTGGGTGTGGTGTGGGTGTGTTGTGGGTGTGGTGTGGGTGTGGTGTGGTGTGGTGTGAGTGTGCTGTGGGTGCTGTGGTGTGCTGTGGTGTGTTGTGGTGTGCTGTGGTGTGTTGGGGTGTGTTGTGGGTGTGGAGTGTGTGTGTGTTGTGGGTGTGTGGGTGTGCTGTGGGTATGTTGTGGGTGTTGTGGGTGTGGGTGTCGGGTGTTTGTGGGTGTGTTTGGGTGTGGCGTGGGTGTGGTGTGGGTGTGTTGTGGGTGTGGTGTGGGTGCGTTGTGTGTGTGCTGTGGTGTGCTGTGGTGTGTGTGGTGTGTTGTGGGTGTGTTGTGGGTGTGTTGTGGGTGTGTTGTGGGCGTGTTGTGGGAGTGGTGTGGGTGTGGTGTGGGTGTGTTGTGCGCGTGTTGTGTGTGTGTGTTGTGGGTGTCTTGTGGGTGTGGTGTGGGTTGGGTGTGCGCGTGGTGTGGGCGTGTTGCGGGTGCGTTGTGGGTGTGTTGTGGGTGTGTTGTGGGTGTCTTGTTGGTGTGTTGTGGGTTTGTTGTGGGTTTGTTGTGGGCGTGTTGTGGGTGTGGTGTGTGTGTTGTGGGTGTGGTGTGGGTGTGGTTTGGGTGTGGTGTGGGTGTGGTGTGGTGTGGGTGTGGTGTGGTTGTGTGGGTGTGGGTGTGGGTGGGTGTGGTGTGGGTGTGGGTGTGGGTGTGGTGTGGAGGTGTGTGTTGTGGGTGTGTTGTGGGTGTGTTGTGGGTGTGTTGTCGGTGTGTTGTGGGTGTGTTGTGGGTGTGTTGTGGGGGTGGTGTGGGTGTGTTGTGGGTGTGGTGTGTGTGTGTGTTGTGGGTGTGTTGTGGGTGTGTTGTGGGTGTGTTGTGGGTGTGTTGCGGGTGTGTTGTGGGTGTGGTGTGGGAGTGTTGTGGGTGTGGTGTAGGTGTGCTGTGAGTGTGCTGTGGGTGTGGTGTGGGTGTGTTGTGTGGGCGCGTGGGTGGGAGGGTGCGTGGGTGCGTGGGCGCGTGGGTGCGTGGGTGCGTGGGTTCGTGGGCGTGTGCGCGTGTGCGCGTGTGCGCGTGTGCGCGTGTGCACGTGTGCGCGTGGGTGCGTGAGTGCGTGAGTACGTGAG